ACCTTACCCAAGATGAACGCTGTGAGTCGCCGCTCGCCACTGGGTCGCGCCTCCGCATCCGATTGCTGACCTTGCTGCTACCAGATGTATGATATCTGATGTATGAGGATAGGAACTGTAACGCAAGGCATGCTGTCCCCGCCGTCGACTACTTTATCGCTCTCATGATATCGCAGGCCGCACCTTGTGCTGTCCAACAGCACCGACGCATTATGTACTCATGGCATTGACGCTCTCTTGACTCCTCACTCCAGACGCAATATTGTTTGGAGGTCCGCGACATGGCGTTCAAAACGGCGCTGAATTCAATACGGCTTCGTCAGTTGGATACCGACCATTTCACCGTGCCTTCATTCAGCACGGAGGAATGTTGACGTAATTCTGAGACTACCTCCGCATTGCTCGTACTCGCTGCCTGTCGATGGTGGAGCTGACCTCGCGGTACATGTCAAGACTTCAAGCTTCGAGGTCCGGCCTATTCGCACCAGGTAATTCCAGCGGACTATGTACGAGTGGGATGAGAACCGGGGTATGATGGCCTGAAGTTCGTGTGAGTATAACCTGCAGGCTGAGCTGCAGGACGCAGGACTTCATGCCGGCATTCGAACGATGGGTGCGCATGCGATGATGTTGCTGCGATAAACTAAGCATAGAAGTGGGTGCAAGTAGGTGTAAGTACAAAGTAAACAGGACTAGACACGGTGCTATAAGGGAGATAAACGGAGATTTGAAAGCGCCCCCCGACTCGACCGGCGCGCCACCGCGTCAAGTGCCCAGGCAATTGAACTGCCTGCTCCCAACGCTTGTCCCCTCTTCCACGACCTCCTGTCACTGCGCACTCCTCGTCCGTCGCGTCCACCCCGCCCACCGTCCCCCGCCAACTCTGCGATGACGGCGTTCCTGCCGCTGGAGGCGGCCACGCCGTTACCGCCCTCGCCAGCGTTTCTCGTGCCCTCGCCCGACCCCGCCAGCCACATGAAGCGGGTCGTCAAGGCCGTTCTCAAAGCGCGCCGCATAGCAGTCGTCTGCGGTGAGTGGCGAGCATATGGCATGCCGCGGTGCGCTGTCGATATACTGAACGCGGCGCTGTAGGTGCTGGTATCTCTGTCCAGGCCGGTATCCCTGACTTCAGATCTTCTGAGGGCCTGTTCCAGTCGCTGAAGAAGGACCACCCGACGCTAAGCTCGGGGAAGGACCTGTTCGATGCGTCGGTGTTCAACGTGAGTCTTGTATCTGGTCGTGGAGCCTGCTGCAGAGGTCGTTATGGACGTCGCGATCCATCGTCGTCGCAACCCCTCGCAACACCACCGCGCGACTCGCCTCTACATGAATGCCACACGCAATCACCGTGGCCGGAGGCCGCGATTCGAAGAACCCCGCAAATGGCCACGAGCACAGTGTTTTCTGGGGACATCGTTGAATGTGTTGTCGGTCCCTAAAGGGGGACTGTGTGGGGGCTCAATTTGCGTCCCCACGAGGACATGGTTATCGCGAGCTCGATCATATGCAGCGTAGACCTCTCAGCACCGGTTGCTTCACGGCCGACGTCGCACGAAGCAGATGAACTCACGAACATGCATCTAGTCGGAAGATACCACTTCGCTCTTCTGCCAAATGATCGGGCAACTCTCGCAGTTGTCGGACGCTGCCCAGCCCACGGCCTTCCATCGTTTCCTTCGTGTCCTCGACGAGCGCCGGCGTCTTCTACGAGTGTACACGCAGAACATCGACGCACTCGAGGAGAAGTCGGGCCTCACTTTTGGAGTACCCGAACTTGACGGTAAACGGTCCAAACCACGCTCGACGAAGGGGAAGGCTGCCCCCGTTGAATCAACCGCACCTGCTCCCGAGGAACCATCCACAAGCCGGCTACCATCACCGCCTGCGGAGACGCCCAGATGCATTCCTCTACACGGCACCTTACAGTTCATGCATTGTCAAACTTGCACACACTCGTTCCCCCTGCGTGACTACGTCGACTCTCTGAATGGTGGGACTCCTCCGGCCTGCCCTCAGTGCACTGCCATCGAGGAGACCCGACAACTAGTTGGTAAGCGGTCCAGAGCTGTTGGCCGCTTACGCCCGAGCGTCGTGCTCTACAACGAGGACCATAAAGACGGCGAGGAGGTTGGCAACGTCGTCCGGAAGGACCTCATGGGAAGCGCGAAGGGCAAGGGTCGTGCCGGAGCGGACCTCCTGCTCGTTGTCGGCACGAGTCTGCGTGTTCCTGGGACGAAGCGCATCGTGCGCGAGTTCTCTAAGGCCGTGCGCTCACGGCATGCTGCGATGAATGCTCCCGCCGACGAGCCCTCGACATCTGCCCACGGTCTCGTGACGCCCACACCGTCTCCTCGTCGGTCCCCGGCGGCGGACGAGGAGCCTCCCGTACGGACCATCTATCTTAACCTGGACTTCCCCGTTCCCACGAGAGAGTGGGACGGCGTGTTCGACGTGTGGATACGCGGAGACGCTCAGACCTTTGCGCGTATGGTGCAAGAGGAGCTCGAGCGGGAAGAGCAGGCCAAGGAGGCGGCTGAGGAACGACGGCGCAAGCGGAAGGAGGCCGCTGCAGAGACCGCGCGACAGGCTGAAGAACAGGAGCGGCTTGCGGAGCAGCGCGCTAGCCAGGAAGGTAGTGTGAAGAAAGGCAAGAAGAGGAAGTCGGAGAACGACAGGGACGCCCATGCTCAACCGGTGAAGAAGCGGAAGACTGGTATTCCGCCGCTGTCTCCTGTATCGCCGTCGAAGAGCTCACGAAAGGCGGGAGCGAAGGAGAAGAACAAGACTCGGAAACGCGAGGACTCTGCGCTGCCCACGCCTCCTGTATCCAGAGACGATTCGTCGAAACGTCTTGTCATCAAGGTTCCGGCGGCAAGGCCCAAGCTAGTCCCAGAAGTGGTCATCACGACGACGCCGTCGAAGAACGTACGTGACCATGGGCCGTTATCATCTCCGTTGTCGTCTCCTCCAACATCGATCTGTCTCTCCCCGCCAGCCCTCTCGAAGGCTGCGAGCACGATGACCCAGCTATCCTCGCCGCTGTCTTCGCCACCCCTCTCCACTTGCGCCGAGTCTGTGTACGACCTCTCGCATATAAGCACCACCCTGTCGCAGATCTCGTCTCCGCTCTCCTCCCCTCCTGCGTCCATCGGTATGCCTTCACCGCCGAAATTGACCAGGACGATTAGCGGCACGACGCAGCCGTCGTCGTCGCTTTCATCACCGCCGGAATCCTCTTACTTCGATGAGCAGCTCGCTTACCGCCGCCGAGACCTGTCTCCTCCGCCATCGCCATCGCCCTCCCCTTCCAAGCGGCGCCGTCTGTCGGGCGGCCGCGGTGAGTATATGGGAATTCGTCCCGGGAAGCCGAGGTCATACGATTTCTCCCAACGCGGGCACGGCCATCACCAGCAGGTTCATCTCTCGGGGTTCGACGATGAAGGGGAAGATGCCCCTCGTGGGGACCCGGAGAGCCGGTTGCCCATGTCATACGTTCGGAGTCGGACTCCTCCCCCGGACGGTCGTAGAACAGGACGCATCCGCTGAGGATACCACGCATATAGTCTCATTCATCCATCGACGTGACCCTTGCGCACGAATCGACACACTGCTACTACGCATCACACTGTACATTTGATCGTTCATGTGCCGTTTGACGGACTGATGCCCAGGTGGTCGAGCTACCTTATTGTTATTTGTACGAGCAGATCCCGCATCTTCATCCGACCCTCGAGCGCACGCATATATGTACCATGGTGTACAGATTCCGAACATTCTACGAGTACGTTCTAATCCTATATAATCTATATGTATCCGGCTTCTGCATCTTGAGGGATATCTACAGCCCTCGCATGTCGACATCGGCCTCTATCGAAATCTCTAGGTGGCAAGATATATCCACTACTGCGTCCGACGTGCAAACACTGTCCAGAGTTGCGACGTCGCCAACGTCGAGAATACACCGTTGCTGGGGTTGACAAGAAACCACCATCGTCCTCGAGGACATACGACTATGGTACATGGCTGGTATGGTACAAATATGCGAAGCGACCTCCACTGTCCGATTGAGCTCTTCAGCGTCCAGTAGCAGCACCAATCTCGACATCCTTCTCGTCGTTCAACACGCCGCTCTCGTCGAAGAGGCTGTCGACGGCGCGTTCCTGTTTGTATGCGTCGACACGATTGCCGCGGGTGTAGCTGCTGACGTTGCGTTCGTCGTTGGTGGTGCTCGACATGAGCTCATCGACTTCGCCTGTGCTACGCGTCAGTAACAGTGAATGCGATATTGTGAGAAGCCTCTTACCCTTGGGTATAGTCCCGGTCTTCTCAGAATGCTCCGTCTCACGATCCTCCTTCTGGTAGTCGCGGTTGGTGGGCTGGTTGGCGGCCCCACGAGCGCCGACGGGGTGCATGTCGCCGTAGGTGTCATCGTCGTACGCGGCGTTGTCGGGGCGAGCGTCCGCCTGGGGGTTGTAGGTCATGTTGTCGACCTTCCGGTCGCCCGGAGGCAAGTTGTAGGGGCCGCGCGACTGGGAGGGATTAACCATAGTTACTGAAGAGTGCTGCGACGGTTGTGGTGAAGATGGTGCGGAATCAAGAGGCTTTGCGGGGAAACCATGGTTCTGGGGGGTCTATATACTGGGGCATGGAGTCGCCTACGTTCGCTCGAGCTTCTCGCGTCGTTCTCTGACCTCAGCTCGACGTCACGGCGCGGTAGGATCGCAGAACCCGCTTCTCGAGACTTGCCATACATGGTGAGACCCTTACCAAATGAAGCCCTCCCCGCCCCAACCATGTCGCGGAGTGTGCGACGGATGACGTCTGTTAAATCCTGAGGCCTGAGTCTCTGTCTATGCCGATCCCAGTTGACTTTTCCTCCAGTCAATGCGTGCCTTGCTATGTAAGACATGCCATCAGCTGGGATGTTTGGCATTCAATGGGGGGACAGCGAAGCTCGAGCCTTTCCCACGCATGTTTTTGAGTGGTCGCTGCCTCCCAGCGGCCGACTGGCCTAATGGTTAAGGCGTCAGTTTCCGGTGTAGAGAAATGCGAGGTCTCAGCGGCGGGGACCCGAACTCAATGGTTTAAGCTGAAGATTCTGGGTTCGAATCCCAGGTTGGTCGCTTTGTGTTTCAGTCAGGTATTTTTGTATGCTCATCGACGGCGAGTGTCCACAAATCTACACGGTAGCAAGTCACTCGGAGTGTCGCGCATATTTGTTCTCTTGACAGCCTCTGGGAGAGGCGACATTGGGTGGTGTGACGGCGTGATTGCCTGTTGCGGAACAAAGGTCACGGGCTGTGGAAGTGAACTCTGCCGCATGCCGGTCCCGAGTCCGCGACCTTGCCTCTCTCCTTCATCTCCGTCTATCAGCTCTTGTCTGCTCACTCGCCGACGCACGCAACGAGCTGAACCCCGGCTACCATGTCGTTCTTTGGCAGCTCGACCTCAGGCACCCTCGGTTCCAATGCTCCAGCAGACAAGGACATCGAGGTCGCCGACCCTCCGACCGACTCGATATCAAGCTTGTCTTTCTCACCAAGCGCAGACTATCTGGCGGTTGGCTCTTGGGACAACAATGTACGGCTGCGAAAGCGTTTGACGCGTCACCATGGTCATAAATTGACGTGATATGTGCCGCTTGGTGGTTAGGTCCGGATTTACGAGGTGGGCCCGAATGGCCAGTCGCAGGGCAAGGCGATGTACCCGCATCAGGGACCCGTGTTGAGCGTGTGTTGGAACAGGGTGCGTGGCGTCTCTTTTCCGAGTTGCGAGAGATACCGACGTCGGCGCGTCCTTGCAGGATGGAACGAAGATCCTCTCCGGTGGCGCGGACAATGCAGGACGCATGTTCGACGTGACCACGGGTCAGGCGTCGCAAGTCGCCCAGCACGACGCGCCGATCAAGGTTGTACGATGGATAGAATCTCCTCAGGGCAGTGTGCTCGCGACGGGTAGCTGGGACAAGACCGTCAAGGTGCGTTCGTCCCCTTTATCACATCTGTTACTCCCCCCTCATCGTCGATCGGCGTGCACAGTATTGGGATTTGCGCACACCAACTCCAGTGTCGACTGTCCAACTGCCGGAACGGTGTTACACATTGGACGTCGTATTCCCATTGATGGTCGTCGGCACCGCCGAGCGCCACATACAAGTCTTCAACCTCCAGAACCCCACTACCCCCTTCAAGGTAAGTGCATCCTGTGCTCTGAGTCCGAGGAGTGCTGACGCCGCTGTCGTCCAGACCTTGGTTTCGCCACTCAAGTGGCAGACGCGTGTAGTGTCTTGCTTCCCCTCAGCGAACGGCTTCGCTGTGGGCAGCATTGAGGGGCGTGTAGCCATCCAGTATGTCGAGGAGAAGGACTCGTCAAACAACTTCTCCTTCAAGTGTCACCGTCGCGACTCAACTCCCACGGGCAAGGACCAGTCCCTTGTCTACGCCGTGAACGACATCTCCTTCCACCCTGTGCACGGTACATTCTCCACCTGCGGTACGCTGCGTCTCTCGTCCCACGCATGATCCCTAACTCGTGACTTACCACCCTTGGTCTGCAGGGTCCGACGGCACCATCAACTTCTGGGACAAGGACGCGCGCACGCGTCTCAAGTGTACGTCACCCCCTCCATTCCTTATGGACAGCAGGCTTACCGGAGCGTCTCTGCCGTAGCGTTCGACCCCGCGCCGGGCCCGGTCCCGTGCACGACCTTCAACCGCACGGGCACCATCTTCGCGTACGCAGTGTCGTACGACTGGTCGAAGGGCCACTCGGGCATGACGCCCGGCCACCCGAACAAGCTCATGCTGCACGCGTGCAAGGACGAGGAGGTCAAGCGCAAGCAGCAGAAGCGGTAAGACGCGCGGCGCTGTCGGTATTCGTGGGTCCCGTTCTCGTGCCCTGCTCCGCGGTCGGCGCTCCCACCATGACTGGACGACGTGGGCGAGAACTCTGGAGAGCGCGCCTGTGGGAGGGGCGCTGTATGTACATGATCATACTCGTTGGGATGGGGAGGAAGGGTGGGACGGAAAAGTACGTCGTACACGTGGAACGCGATGCACCCTGCTGTAACTTCATCACCCTCGACACTCGATGTTGAGTTATCCTGTCTTGTGTCCTATTCTGTGTCTTATCTTTTCCAGCATCATGTCTAATGCTATCGTGTTGTGCTATAAGCTCACCTGGCTGCTCATCTCAAGAATATTATGTATGTCATCGCAAGTCGCTGAACATTTGGTCTCCCCCTGGACTTACGACGGGAACTCATTGGCACATGGTACGTGTCCTACGAGTTGACAACGATGATGTATCGCACCGAAACAAGACATGCATTAAGACGGCTACACGACTCTTGAACTAGCAACGATTAGATCCTCTTCTCCCTACAAGTACCTAGATGACGCGGAAATGCCTCGTTCGCACCCGCGCTGTACGCAGCGCGAGCAGCGAGGGCCATGCGATGAGTAATAGTAATGTACATTTGACTGGGTCGTGGCGTATCGTGGACGGGAAGAATAAACAACATGCACGCAGGCAGATGGCAGTGGGCGGTATATGGGGATGGGATGAACGAGCACGAACGAGGAGCACGGAGCGGCATGTGCAGGGCGAAGGAACAGAGAGCTCTAGAGGTGCTCACAGATCCTTGCCAAGCGCCGCCTTTTGCTGCTTGGCCTCGGCGGCCTTGACCTCCAGCATGGGGTCGAGCTCGGAGAGCGGCTGCCGGTAAGAGTTGCCCATGCGGTCTGCCCACGTGAAGTACTATGTGGGAGGGTAAACGTGTCAGTGTTTCGATCACGACAGATGCCGCGCGAGCGGTGCGTACCTGGCCGTAGTTAACGGTGAAGTAGAGATGGTGCAGCGTGTGATGCGCAGGGCCGTTGATGATTTTTTCCAGGGGGTGGCCAGTAATCATGTCCGAGTCATGGATGAGGATGGACCAAATGTTGACGAAGACGAAGAGCCCAAGGTACAACAGGCGGTGGAGGGGGAAGAGGTGGATGAAGAGGTGGTAAGGGATGGACTGAGCATAGCCATCGAGCGGGTGGAACGCATGCGACGAGAAGGGCGTAGGGACTGCGCAAGGTACGATCAGTACGCTACGAAGCGGGGGAGACGTGGCGCAAGATAACGAGTACTCACTGAGCCATTTGTGGTGCGGCTTGTGCAGCCACTTGTAGCAAATGGGGTGGTGCTCCCCGCGGTGGATCCAGTAAATGCAGTAATCCGTGAAGACGAGGAAGCTATGAATAGACATAAGCCAAACGAGATGTCTCGTGAGCCGTGGCGGGGACTCACAAGAATATTGAGAAGAAGAAGTATCCCCAACCATACTCCGAGACGTCATCGTAGAGCTTCGAGTGGCCGCGGACCTCCGCAAGGAACCATGGGAGGGTGAGCGCAATCATTCCTGGGAACGCCTTCAAGCTAGACTGGATCTCGAGCTTGACTTGGTTCTTGAGGAAGCGTGGATGCTTCATCATGTCGTGGTTGAAGATGAACTTGTAGGAGAGGCCGGCAATAAGGAAATACAGCACATGGATGCCGACAAGGGTGAGGGCGAAGAGGGAGATGATCTGGCGGGGCATGTAGTCTCGTGGCCATGCCGACGCGACCTTGCCGGACTCAACGAGAGGAGCGGTGAGGAGCTCGCTGGTGAGTGGCGGATGGGGGATGTACGAGATGAGCTGCGACCAGGCCGAGGGCTGGGAGGCCGGGGGCAAGACGTGAGAAGAGACATTGTATAGGCCGGCCGCATTGGAGGTAGCAGTTGTGAACGCGGACACGGGAAGAAGCGCAGCCCATGCGCGATCGAGGACGTAGTCGTCGGCGAACTTGAGAATAACGTCCATGGCGACAGAGCTGGGGCTGCGCTAGACTGGGGCGAGCGTTGGGTAGGCCGGCAGCAACAGGGACGACGAGGAGAGGGACCGAGCAGGCCGTGCTGCTTATATTCAGAGCGCGCACCCGAAAGTCGTCCCACTTGCCTCGAATTTTGACACATGTGATCTGATTAGATGTCCGCCATCTAATCTTGCCGCGGGGAGCGCCGGCTGCGTGCGTCCGGGATGCTGACCACGACGCGCTCCCCTGTCTGTGCCCGACGCTGCGCACAGGCTGCCCGCCGCCGTCTCTGCCTGCGCCGGCGATGCCCCTCTCTGTGCACACCGGCGATCTTGCTGCCCGCCTCTGAGTCCTCCTGCATCGCCCGGCCGCGGAATCGCACCGGGCGCCCCTGGGTCCGCACTGGGTCCGTCTGTGGAGGCCTGGTGGCGCCCCGGCAGGCCGACCCCTCGCAACAGTGGGCTCTCTCCAGCGACTCCGAGGGCGCAAAGAATCCACAGTCGTACCACTCACCTTGGCCAACCGATGTTCACAAATATCACGACGCCGGACGGACATGGCATGCCGCTGCCGGGCGCCTCCCCGTGACCATCCTGCACGCCTCGAGTCGGCCTCGTCCTGGACAATGCTCTCGAGCCCATGCTGGTGCTGGTGCCTTGCTGTCGCTTTCCGTGGGGGTCCGGGGCCCTGGAAGTCGAAAGGTGGGTGAAGTGAGGGGACGAAGAGCGTGCCCAGCGTCAGGTCGCCCCAGGCCAAGTGGTACTTTCAATGTAGAGTACGTCACTGTACCGATCGGCACCATCTTCCCAAATCTGTCCTGCTCACTCGTCCTCTCAGCAGGTTCACACCTCTTCATGTAGTCTGTCAGTTTGGTGGCTGCACCCATGCGCAGCGCGCACTCAGATACGCTCATTATCATGAGCGTGCTCGGTTAGGGACGACGGGGTCCTCAAGTTGCGCAACCAGGCCAGTACGTCGACGCGCGGAGGATGACAGAGGCAAAGAAGGGGATTTCGGTATGCTCGACACGTCGCCCGCAGATAAATACCCATGCCATATCGCATCGCATTCCGGTGCGAACAGGACCAATGCATATCTCCGACAATGGTGCCAATCTGGACGAAGACGCCGTCCGCGAGATTGAAAGGGCTCTTGAGAAGCTGCTGAGTCGCACGATCTTACGGCCATCGCGCAGTATAGATTCACGGATCGCAACGTTCCACTGATCTCAACAGGTTTTCCGACGCATCGTACAGATGTTAGTAGATTCAAGCATCACCCCGTGTGTAGGTATCATCCGTCCGGGTCGTCATATATCGTCTAGATGTGTACAAAGTCGTCCGTGGCCTGCAATGCAATACATGATTCACACTGTCTTGCCCACGTGTGAAGAAGCGTACCTTCACAAGCAACTTGCTTGTCCCAGGCTCGCGGGAGGAGTGACCCGCGTCGGGCACAATGTGCAGCGTGATCTCCGGCCAAACCTTCTTGAGCGCGTAGGCAGTCGTCGCCGGGCACACAACGTCGTAGCGGCCTTGCACGACGACGCACGGGATGTGGCGGCTACGTTGGATAACCTGTGAATACCGTCTGCGCAGTCAAGAGGGACGAACAGCGAGCTCACATCTTGTCGATCTCCTGCTTCTCCAGCAGTTGTCCGTCACGCATGAAGCCCTGTAGCCATGCAAGCACTGCATCAGCGACGCGTCCGGGCTTCTTAGCACTCGACGGGGGACGTACGTTGTTCACGAAGTAGTGGTTCTCGATCCTCGCAAACGCGCTGCAGGATGCAATTGGGGCCTTCGTCAACGCGACGTAAAGGCACAACGGAACAGGCTGGGGACGTACTTGGACCACTCGTTGTCATCTGCCTCGGCGACCTGCTTTGGGTCGACGTGCAGCTTCGACGTCCACATCTCCCACTTTGTCCATGCGCGGGCCGCGCGAAGGCGCGTCTCGTCGTCGTCGGAGTTGAGCTGCGGGTGGTACGCCAGCACGATGTCGCCCCGCTCTGCCTCGGGGATCGGAGCGATAAATTCTTCCCTATCAGTAGGGAACAACGAATGGTCAGCTTGGGAAAAGGACGGGTAGGTGGTCCGAGCCTACCATGCTTCGGGGAAGATGTGGGACGCGCCATCTTGGTAGAAGAAGCGTAGCTCGCTGTCGGACTTTGGTCAATGTGTGTGGATGCACGAAGGACAAAGGATGGCAAACCTCTTGCGCAGCGTGAAGATGCCGCTGTATGGGACCCAGTCTGATCAGACTCCTTCCACTGCTCCCAAACGAGAAACATACCGGAGGACTAGCGTCTTCACTCGATCGGGATGCGACTGCCGGTCGTGAGCACATCAGCTCTCGAAGCCACAACGCGGTGGGGAACTGCTGCGCACCTGAGCATACGCGAGAGAAAGTGTCGACCCCTTGTCGCATGGATCGCGTCGCATCAACATGGGCACGCATGCATGTGGGCAGAACGGCTCACCCACGAGCCGCCAAAGACGTGCCACTTGTCGACACCGAGGTGCTCGCGCAGCTTCTCGATGTCCTTAACGAGGTCCCAGGTCGTGTTCTCCTCGAGCGATGCCGCCCTGCGCGATTGTATCAGATGTGGCACGTTCTAAAAGGCAGGACAAAGTGTTATGATGCACGCACGGAGTGGAGTTGCCCGAGCCTCTCTGGTCGAAGAGGACGATCTGCAGCCGACATGACGCACGCGAGTCAGCCTGTGGTTAACGCAAAAGAGGGTTGTGTACGCGTCACTATAACCGTGTCACGGCCGCGCACCTTGTACTTGCTCGGATCGAAGAAAGATCGATCGATGGGATCGGTTCCGCCACCGGGTCCTCCATGCAGGAACACGACTGGATGTGCACTTGTCAGCGGGACGGACCACAGATCGCGGCCGCGCAACCCCAAGGCTGGGGATGGAACATACCGGGATTGCCATCCTTCTTCCCGCTCAGTTCATAGCTGCAAAGAGAGTGAAAGAACGGTATTAGCCCCGGTGGTCGAACGCGGTATCGATCTAGAATGGATTGCTGCGCGTACTAGAGCGTGTGGAGGTCGGAAACCTTGAGCTTCCCGGTCTCGTAGGGCTCGATCGGGGGATACATGTGGACGGTACCGGCGGAACGACTGGTGCTGTGATACCTGTGATTGTGGTTAACCCGCCTGCTGCGCTCGATGATGTTGCGTCCTTGATAAACGGTATTCCAGCTGGAAGATGGCCGTACAGGGTGGCCGAGACGGCGGACTGCACCGTGACGACAGAGTTCAGGGCAAGAAGCATCCAGGATCAGTCACACGTGGTTCTTGATGTGTGGCCTGTGTCACAGGGCCCTAGTAGTAAGTATTGATGATTGCCTCTGATTCAGCTCACCTAGTCGACGACGGAAGTGGCTTTCCGCATGTTCATAACCAACGATGTCTCAAAATGCTTTGCAGAAGGGAAAGAGATGATATGACGAAAAAGGTAGAACATATCATTCCCTTAGTGATGAGAGTGGGATTCGAACCCACGCCCGTGAGGACCAGATTATAGAACAAAGCCTTAGTCTGGCGCCTTAGACCGCTCGGCCATCTCACCATAGGGTCATCTGGCATGGCGATTTATACATGGTCGCTCATATTCAGGTCTGTGATGGAGTCTTCCACCGTACTAGTGACAGTCAGGTGTCAGTAGGGCAACTAACTGCTTTCATTGATTCATTGACCATGGTCTAACGATGGTCCGAAGCTCATCGATAAGCGAGGTGTTCAGTATGTTTGCCAGATATGGCAATGGCATTGCCGTTCTGGGAACGCTGAGGATGATGTCATGGGACCCGTCATTCGAGATGCACCTTGGAGAGAGCGCGTCTCTGGGTATATAAGGACGCCAACTGGGGAGCGAGTGAGCGCAATACAGAACACCATGTCTGCACACAAGAACCTGATCCGTGTCCAGGCTTCCACCCAGAAGTACCCCTGGGGCAGGCAGGGCTCGTCCTCTCTGGCGGCCCAGCTCGCCTCTAATGCCATCGGCCATGGCTTCAAGATCGACGAGAGCGAGTCTTATGCAGAGGTGCGTACCCTCCTTTCCTGGCATGGCCGTAGCACTCGTGCTAATTAGCCTGACGACAGATATGGATGGGCACTCACACCAACGGCCCCGCGCATCTTTACGACGAACCCTCCAAATCACTGCTGTCCCTCATCTCCTCCGACCCCAAATTCTATCTCGGGAAGACTCTGCTCAGGAAATGGCCCTCTACTACCCATATTCCCTACCTCTTCAAGGTCCTCTCCATAGAGAAAGCGCTCCCTCTGCAGGCACACCCAGACAAAGGCCTCGGCGAGCAGCTGCAGCTCAAGGATCCCTCCAACTTCGTCGACTCGAATCACAAGCCCGAGATCGCTGTCGCCATCGGAGAGCCGCTGAGAGCTACCCGGGCGAAGACGGCAAAGTCGCAGGGAGATGAGGAAGAGGCGGTCGGCGACGCAGACACTGCCTTCACCGGGTTCGTCGGGTTCCGCCCTCTTGAGGAGATCAAGGCGGTCCTCCAGGCAATCCCGGAACTTGGCGAGGCCATCGGTGACTCGCAGCTCGTCTCCTCGTTCGTTCAGAACCCGTCCAAGGATTCTCTCCGCCAGATCTTTGGCAGGCTGCTCAAGCGCGGCGTGGAGGCGCGCGAAGAGGTTGCGAAGACGATCTCCCAGCTACAGGACCGCATCAAGCAGAGTGGGGGCAAGCTCGGCTTCCACGACAGCGAGGAACTCGCGAAGCTCGTACTGAAGGTGAACAAGCAGTACCCCGGTGATGCCGGCGTGCTTGCGACCACCTTCTTCATGAACTTCGCCAAGCTGCGGAAGGGCGAGAGCATCTACATCGGTGCGGACGAGATTCACGCCTACCTCGAGGGCGGTAAGTTTCGCCAATTCTCGGGTTTCTGGCCGCCTCCTGACAGATCGTTTGCCTAGACATCATCGAGTGCATGGCCATCTCCGACAACGTCGTCAACGCCGCGTTCGACTCACCAGACTCCCTCGCTTCCCAAGTCGACACCTTCATCGACATGCTCACCTACACGGCACGTCCCGTCTCGCACTGGTCGCTTCCCGCACAGAAGTACGAGCATTCGAAACTCGGACGCACGGTGAAGTATGACCCGCCCATGGAGGAATTCATCGTTCTGGGCACGTTCCTTAGCGCGAAGAAGGCGAAGGAGGAGCACCTGGGCGCCGTGGACGGCCCGACGATGGGCATCGTGACGAGAGGCAAGGTCAGGATTACCACGAAGAAGGGTGGGGAGACGGAGAGCTTGGAGCTCGACGAGGGCGCCGTGGTGTTCGTCGCTCCGAACAACGAGATCGAGGTGGAAATCCTCGGGGGACGCGGGCCAGACGAAGCGGGTGAGGTGTGGTGGTCGTTGTTCGGTGCATGACGACCTACGAGAGCGAGAGCAGGACAATATCATGAGGCAGGCACAGAGCATACCACTCCGATATATTATAGTAGATCCACATCAACCACCGCGATCCATTTGAGCATATACAACACCATCGCATTAAGACTAATAGAATACAACAACTCCAGCATAGATCCACAAGTTCGGTGCACACCAGGTGCACGTCTAGACATACAGCCACTTTCCGCGCCTCGACGCCCACTGGGAGAGCTCCGTGTTGCTGATGCTCTCGAAGCGACGCCGGATAGAACGCTGGGAAGCGGAGCCGTCTGCACCATCCCCATTCGGCGTCATGGGCGGGGAAAGCGGGGAGAGCGGCTCAGAGTCGTCGTCCGAGTCGGCAGCCACCTCGTCATACGGCGAGAGGATACCAAGACCAGAGCCGCCGACAGCTGTGACGTACGCCTGATAGCCTGCTGCCTCGATCGACTTAATGAGCGACTGGAGCTTCTCATCCGGGAAATCTGGTGCGGACAGCTTGGTCAGTACCGCTGTTGGTAGGATGCATGGATTGTGTCTCACCGTCAGGAACGAGAGTGACGGCGCATCCTCCGCCTCCTGCACCGGTCAGCTTGGTGCTAAGACGGTAGGGCGCGCCGGCGGTCTTCGCGCGGATGACCTCGAGCGCCGGGTGTGAGACACCGAGCGAAGCGAGGTGGACGTGGTTCTCATCGATGAGAGACTACAGAGGATGGCAGAAGTGTCAGTGAAACACTTAGCATTCGATATGGCATTACACGTACCGCGAGCCCAGAAAGAAGAACATTGCGCGGGACTTCAGGATCCGCAAGTGCACGCCGCGCCTCGTTGCTGATCGTCTGGATAGCATCCAGCAGCTGGCCCACGAGCTCAGGCTCCGCTGCCTTCTTCCTCGCAACACCAGCGACGAGTGCCTTCGTGTCGCGGGGTACCTTCGAGTCGATGAGGAGGAACCGCAGCGACTTGAAGCCCTGGATTTGGTCCATGCCACTGCGCTTCCCGAACCCGGGGCGCACGTATGCAAGCGCACCACCAAAGACCGCGACGGAGTTGTCGACACCAGAGGGGTTCCCGTGCAGCACCTTCTCGGCGACGAATGCCCAGCGATTCGTCTCCTCTGCGATGTCTGGCGGGATGGCGCGGCGACCTCCGTGCGAGACGTGAACGTGACCAGGGTCGTTGCCGATGGCCTCGCGAGATGGTGGCGGGACCGCTGGGAGCTCGATGCGACCGTGCAGGATGAGAAGTGCAGTGGCTATGCAGACGGAGAAGGAGGCAGACGAACCAAGGCCGGCACCGATGGGGAGGCTGGAGCGACAGACGAAGTGGAACGATGGTCTGTTACATGATGTGTCAATCGCTGCCATTTACTCGCACAGAAGCATCTGAAGAACTCACCTGCTACCGCCAGAGGTCATCATCATGTAGAGATAGAGAAAGGCGATCGCTGCTGCGTGTGTCTTTGGGGGCATCTTGTCCTCTGATGGGAGAGCTCTCGACTTAATCGCGTCTACAACACGTTGATCCAGCGCGTCGGGATGGACTTCGCCATTTGGTATGGGAACGACAGCGTCCCATGGCAGCTCGTCAATGTCCCACTCGTGCTTGTAATTGTTAATGTCCGCGAAGTGCACCGACAGCTTGCCGTCATAGCGTGGAGATGTGAGGCCGTAGCAACGAAGGTCCACAGAGGCAGCCACAGCAGTCTGGAGGCCTATTCAACATCGTATACTCGAGAAACTGAAGGGAGACTACTTACAACACCATGGACGACTGCGTGTTCACCAAACAGAATGACCTTGCCAGGAGCGCTGACAAACCATTCGCGGTGGTCCTGGGGACGGACAGTACGTGCCTCCCCGAGAGCGAGCTTCTCGACAGCCCGGCTAATGGGGTTCGGAATGCGGATGTAGTTGTTGGCGGCGAAGGTAATCGCGCCGGCTTCGATGAGAGCATGGCGCAGATCGTCCAAGAGATCCGCAGGGTCCTCGATACCGACACACAGGCGGATCAGATCTTCAGGAAGGCCACGAGCCGCACGAGTGGCCGGGTCGATGGAAGCGTGCCTGGCAGGAACGATTAGCGAGCTTGTTCGGAGAAAAGACACCCTCTGGAGAAGCTGAACTCACGACATCACGCAGGGCATGCTGATGAGACTGTTCACACAGCCAAAGCTTACACTGATGCCCCACAAACGAGTAGCTGCCACAATACGCTCACTCAACTCCTTGTCTCCAGTCTCGAAGGAGAGGACGGCGCCGTAGCCTGCGCATGCATGCGTTGAGTATATGGGCTTACATGCAGAATCGTGTCGGACTTACCGTCAGATATCCGGTCATGAATATCCTTGCCAGGATGGTTGGGCAAGCCAGGGTAGTGAGTGACGAAGCCGAGCTTCGACAACATCTGCGCGACAAGCATCGAAGTAGATTGCTGACGGTCCATGCGGATAGCAAGGGTCTTCGTGCCGCGAAGAAGGAGGAAGGAGTCGAAGGGGGTCAACGCATTGCCGACAGAGTTGATGATGAAGGCCATTTCCTGCAAAGAAACGACATGTTAGCAAGACGTAAAGTGGGATGTCGTCTGCACGTCTAGACCGTACCTTGGCGAGGTCGTCGCGGTTGCACGTAATAACACCAGCCATCAGGTCATGGTGACCACTCAGGTACTTGGTGGCGCTGTCGTAGACGATGTCCGCGCCATGCTCCAGAGGCCTCTGGAGGTACGGGCTCATCATGGTGTTGTCGACCACGACGACCGCATCCTCGCACTTCTCCTTCACCAGTGCGCTGATCCCCGCAATATCGACTATCTTGAGCAAAGGGTTCGTCGGAGACTCCAGGAGCACCATTGCGGTCTTGCCAGGGTGCAGGTATGGGATCACACTCTCCGCCTTCGTCGTGTCAACATGGTGAACCGTGACGCCCATGTGCGTGCGGAGGTACGTGAGCAGACGGTTGGTACCGCCGTACAAGTCGTCGCCGGCGATAACCTCGCATCCTGGCTTGAGAAGGCGCGTAATCACGTCCAAAGCGGCCATGCCGCTCGACACCGCAAAGGCATGCGCGGCAGACGAGATCTTCGCAATATGGTGCTCTGTGCAGAAGAGCGTCAGTCGAGTGCAATATCATACGATCCCTGGGGGTTTGTGCGGGCGTCC